TTTAATATTCCAACAACACATGCATCACTGCTGGTGTGGGTTTCCTCGCACTCAAAGAAGCATAAAAACACTGCTTGAGGGCTAATACCGCCCTCTGGTGGGGAAGAGTTAATGAACTTTCTATATGTTTCACAAAATTAACATAAAAATCTTTTATGCTCTGCTTCTGTTTTGTCAATTAAAATGACAATTCCTTCCACTTATTGAGATTTATACTTTTAGAAGCACTTTATGTTTTAATCTGAGTGCTAAAGTGCTAGTTTTATAGCACCAGTGCTACATGCTTCTTACACGCTTCTTCATAAACATATTTCTAGCCATTTATGCTGGAAAGTCTTTGGAAAGTAGAACAATGTATTTCATTTTGAAATTTAAAACTAAATAAATTAATTAAAAAAAATAGTATCTTTCTGTTTTTCTAAGGAAAAAGGATTTGGCTAACTGGATGCTAGCATTACTGCTGAATGGTTGGCATTATTGCTATAGAGTGTTAACGGTAATGCCAACCATTTGGCACTCAGTAGCAGTACTGTATAAAAATGATTACAAACTATGGTTCTGCACAAAAGCTCTGTTTTTTGGACTTGCTCTAGAGCGCCCTCTAGCATCAGACAAATCCAGAAGGCATTACTAAGTGGCAATTCTCATCACATGAAATTCTCTAGCGCCACCACATCTTTTCAAACTGCCGCTAACACAACTTCAGTGGACGGGTGAACAGGCTTGGAGGAGAGCACTAACTGCTGACTCTGTTACGTTAGCTAACCGATGGAGGAGCATGCTATCCATGCAGGTTAACATTCGGCAGGTTGAATATGACCATGCTAACATTAGCCCAGTCACACAATAAAACAAACACCTGACCGCTTAAACTGCAGGATTATTATTATTACAACAATATTTATTATTTAGTAAAACTGTTATTTAGTAACTACTATGCAGCTAATAAAGGTTTATTCAGTACTGTGCAAAAAGCTAAAGATCATCATCGATTTCATTTCCTATCAATATCCATGAGAAGGTGTTTGGGATTACTTTGATTGTGAGAAGCAGAAAATGCAACCAACTTCTAAGACTGAACTGCATAGGTGTGGAAAAATATCCCTGCAACACTTTTACTGAAAAAATGATATATTTAGTTCTTGAGGCTTTTGTGTAATTTTCTGTTGAATTTGTTTTGTCGTGACACTGAAAAACGACTAACCTGAGTACTTAATGCCTATTTTGAGTAGACATGTAAAAAACAAAAAAGGTGCTCTCTGACTTTTGCACAGTGCTGTAGTTTTGTAAGGAAGTATGGGCCCACAAACACAGCCATGCAGTTTAATGGGTTAAATCATATTCAGGATGAATACAGAATAGTAGAAATTTGCAACCCCATTTACAAAAAAAGTTGGGACGCTGTGCAAAATGTAAATAAAAACAAGATGCAATGATGTGCAAATCATGTAAACCCTATATTTTATTGAAAATAGTAACAATGTATCAAATGTTGAAACTGAGAAACTGTATTGTTTTTTTGAAAAAATATTTGCCTATTTTGAATTTGATGCCAACAAAATGTCTCAAAATTTGGGATGGGGGCGAAAAAAGGCTGGTAAAGTTGTGTAATGCTAAAAAAACACATGGTGGTTGATTGGCAACAGGTCAGTAACATGACTGAGTATAAAAGAGCATCTCAGAGAGGCGGAGTCTTTCAGAAGTAACGATGAGGAGGGGTTCACCACTCTGTGAAAGACTGCACGATCAAATAGTGCAACAATTCAAGAATAAAGTTTCTCAACATAAAATAGCAAAGAACTTTTTCTTTTCATCATCTACGGTACATAATATCATTAAAAGATTCAGAGAATCTGGAGAAATCTCTGTATGTAAGGGACAAAGCCAAAAACCAGTATTTGCTGGTCGTGATCTTTGGGCCCTCAGACAGCACTGCATTAAAACCAGACATGATTCTGTAGTGGAAATCACTGTATGGGCTCAGAAACACTTCTGAAAACCACTGTCTGTGAAAACAGTTCATCACTGCATCCACAAATGCAAGTTAAAACTCTAAAACGCAAAGGAGAAACCATCTATAAACAGGATCCAGAAATGCTGCCACCTTCTCTAGGCCTGAGCTCATTTAAAACAGACTGAGGGGAAGTGGAAAAGTGTCCTGTGGTCTGACGAATCAACATTTGAAATTCTTTTTGGAAATCCTGGACACTGTGTCCTCCGGGCTAAAGACCACTCAGCTTGTTATCAGTGCACAGTTCAAAATCCAGTATTAATGATGGTATAGGGGGGCATTAGTGCACATGGCATGGGTGACATGCACATCTGTGAAGGCACCATTAATGCTGAATGATACATACATGTTTTGGCAACATATGCTGCCATCCAGACGACGTCTTTTTCAGGGAAGGCCTTGATTATTTCAGCAAGACAATGTCAAACCACATTCTGCATGTATTACAACAGCATGGCTCCATATTAAAAGAGTCCAGACGCTAAACTGGCCTGCCTGCCTTCCTGTCACCACTGAAAACATTTGGCGCATTATTAAATGAAAAATACGACAAAGGAGACCCTGAACTGATGAGCAGCAGAAATCCTATATCAAGTAACAATGGGAAAACGTATCACTTTCAAAACTACAGCAGTGTCTCCTCAGTTCCCAAACGCTTACATAGTGCTGGCATCAAATTCAAAATGGGCCTAAATTTTTCCAAAAACAATGAAATTTCTCTGTTTCAACATTTCATTTGATGTCCTAGTACTATTTCCAATGAAATATAATGGTTTAAATGATTTGCACATCATTGCATTTTGTTATTATGTACATTTTGCACAGCATGTCAACTTTTTTGGAAATGGGTTTGTAATTAAAAGCTAAAATAAATGTTTTTCGAATGTTTCTCTAAAGCCCCAAGCCTAATAAAAGGTGGAACTGAGGTTCTCCAGGCTTTCTGCATTTCATATTAGGCCAGCATCTGCAGATCTAAGATCACGTGCTGGAACATTAACAAATCTTGAGGGGCATCTTGAGTCTAGTTTTGAAAACAATATTGACCCCAAGTACCTCCAGCGACACTCTCTCTCTCTTTCACTCTCACTCTCTCTCTCTCCTGAAGTGCTCGTGCGGCGGGTCGTAATTAGGCTCCAAGCTCCATCACTGGAAAGGGATTTGCACCTCAGTAGGCAGATCAAGATGACCTTTAGAGCCTCCAGACCTGCCACTCTGTGCCTGGGTGACTACAGGGGAGGAAAAACGCGTTCAATTCGGCACAAAAGCGCACTCTCTTTCCCCCCTCAGGGCTTCCTCCTCATCCTCGTCCGGGGCTTATTGATTCGAGGCCGCTGACGCGCAGAAATAAGGTAATATCCTGTGTTCTACAAACAGCGCTCATATAATGGACGGCCTGTATTGCATAACACCCTCAAAGGCACAGTGTTGTGAGACTAATAAAGACAGCAGTGACACTGATTACACAGCCCGCCACAACAATGAGACTCATTTAACCTTGAGAGAGAAAGAGAGGGGGGGGGGAGCATTGTGTAACAAATCTGACACAAAAAAGTGAAGTCCTTGGTTATAAATGTTTTTTTTCACCCTCTTCTTTATTCTAGCCCTATTAATTAACCATTACCTGTGCTTTCTGTGATAAAGACAGGTCACGTAAATACACCTTTTATACAATGAAAGGAAGAATGAGAACAGGGGAAAGAGGTGAATAATGCAATCACAGTTCACCGTCCTTTATTCTATTTGCTTTTCAATCAAGTGCTCCACATATTTCAGAGCTCTCTCCCCCCCCCACCACTCTCTCGCTCGCTCTCCCTCTCCCTCTCTTTGCCCTGTAGTGCAAAACCGAACTGATTGTGCTGTAAAATTATAACCCCGGTAGAATTTTTTTTTTTGTTCCATGCCCGCGACGGAACCATTACGGCTGAATTAAATGAGAGAGAAGCCCCACGAAACCCAGGCGCCTCCCACCCACAGCCGCCCACACTGAACCCTAGGATCAGTGTCCTTTCCCAACGCGGAGCGCCGGCTAAAAGCATTCACAGCCTGCGCCTGGAGCGCTCGCAAGAATGCGGCCATCTCGCAGGACGGAGGAAATTTTTGTCAGTAACTAGCGGGATATCAGAGATTCGTATTCATAAAGCCTTGAGAAAAAAAATGATTACGTTTACAGTAGTTGCACTTAGGGGTCTACTCGAAAAAAAAAGAAAGAAAAAGGGAAAAATGCGCAGAAGTTCAAGCAAAAGAAGCTTTTAGACTGAGGGGAGATTTGACTTTTTTCTTCTGTTTACCCTTTTCTTTTTCTCAGGGAGCATAACAACCCCAAAATGTGTGTTTAGCTCTGGGTGTTCATTTTATTTGATTCCTATTTTTTTTACCCTGACAAAAATAAATGGGGGGAACGAAGCCTGTATGGTCTTCCACTGAGCAGTGGGAGCTAAAATAGATGCATTTTCTTCAACCTCTGCACCGGCATCATCAGCACGGCCTATTCTCAAGAGGATTCGGCATCATTTAGTGAAGCCAGGTGTAATGAATCCGTTTCACAATTAGTCTGTGTTATTATTGTGACATTAGCGACGGTGACACGGATGGTAAGTGCTATGATACCTCCTCCATTTTTGGTTAATGCTGGTCCACTATGTGGGTGCCGGGCTGGTAATGGATTGTATCGGAGTTTATTTCATTAGGCTTTTTGAACGGGGGTGCGGGGGTGCGGGGGGGATGGGTTCAGCTAAAAGGGGGCATTCGCGGACCCTGTACTGGTGCAGCAATTTCAAAAATTGCATTGCATTTCGTGACTGCAAAGTACGAATTTCTTGTCCTGCCAGGCAACATTTCAAAAGAAAACTGACGAATGTGATTCTGGAGAAAGTTCAGCCTTAATTTAGCATCCAGGCTGCAAAGTGAATGAACATAAACACTGAAAATGAACACTCTTAACGTTGAAATAAAAAAATAAAAAATAAAAAACTGCAGCATGTGAAATTGGTGAGATCAGAAGGCCTAAACGCTCCAAAGCAGCTTTTATTTCCTATAAAACGATCCGTAAAAGAGTGAAACATAATACATCGTATCTACAATAAATAACGCTTTAATATAAAAAAGGGATATTAATCATAAAAAAACAGCACACATGCGTCCCTCACAGACGTCACTGCTGTCATTTTAAAATCCAGCAAGCACCGCTCCAATCTCTCCTGGCTATGAAGAAATTATCACAGTTCAGAACAGCCTGTTCTTTTCCACTGTGAAAACAAAAAGCTTGAGGATTGAAGCAAAAAAAAAAAAAGCGTTGAAAAAGCAGACACTCAGTTCATTCAGAAACGGTCCGTAGTCTGTTCACACACACCCGTGGCGCATATGGAAGTTGACAACATACTCAGCGTTCGTGCGCTGTACAGAAATGGCAAAAGGCTCGAAAGGGTGAAAGGTAAAGGCGACCAGTCTCCGGACGGTGTGGTTAATCGGTCTGCCCAGCAGGCCAGCCTGAATTTTAAACTTCAGCAAACCAGAATCCCTTGCATAAAACCTGCAGAGAGAGAGAGAGAGAGAGGGAGAGGGGGAGAGAGAGAGAGAGAGAGAGAGGAGAGGGAGAGAGAGAGAGAGAGAGAGAGAGAGAGAGAATGTTATCCTTAAACGCATGAATATCTTTGTAAATCCACACGTGAGAATTAGGCCCAGTCCCATTTCACCCCTCGGCCCCTACCACTTTGCCCTACCCCTCCATTTTGCGTGCTCACGTCTAGGGGTAGCGTGTCCCGATTGTTGTTGAGATAGAGGGGTAGGGTGAAGTGTTAGGGCCACATGACCCTCCAAACTGAGGATTTTCAGAGACACTCCAGTGTTATGAGGGAAAAAAGAAAAACCAGCAATATGGCTGAACAAGAGACCAAAGAAACCCACAAATGTTTCTCTGTTAAAAAACTTATGATTATCATTGTTTTATCTGACTTTAATGTCGTTTCAATGTATTATGGACTGTTTCTTCAAAACAAGCGTAAAAAATTGCTAGTAGTTTGCTGATGTCTCGGTAGCTAGCTAAATTTCCCGTTCCACCTTAAAAGGTGCAGTAGTTATATTTTGGCACCTCAGGTCAGAACTGCTGCACCATTTAAGGTGGAACGGGAAAACTCAAACAAGAAACTAGCAAATATCTGACTTCAGCTTCAAATCACTGAAAAATTAAGTGTGAGTGATAATAAATAAATGCCCTCCTCTTTGAAGTCATATGATCCCTAAATGTAACTAAAGCCCAGCAGTGAGGAGCTGAACTTTACCCTCCTCTGCTGTCACTGCAGACTGGCAGGGTCACCTACAGAGCAGCGCTGGTAGCTGTTAATGAAGTCATGTTCTTTTTATTTGAGGGTCCCATTTCAGAGGGAAGACTTTAACCACTACCCCTCTTAGCTCAGTTCAAAGGAGCAAGGTGACACTCAAAAACAAGGGGTAGGGGTAAAAATAAGAAATGGGATTGGGCCTTTGTGTGAATCACTACGCATTAAAAGTAAAATCTGTCGAAAAATCTAATTTAAAACCATTTCAATCATTTTCCTCCTAATATTTTAGACAACGGTGGCATACAGTGTCAGAAACCACACAAGACTATTAACAACTCAGCGCAGGTTGAGAAAAGTGAGTGATGATTAAGATACACAGTTAGCACCATGATAAACGGTGGAATATAAGCCTCCATTACTTGCTATCTACTTCAGCCTTGTAGCTCCAGGATAAAACTAAAGAAGTAAAGATTAAACTCCAAACATGTTCTGGCTGACTGAACACATTTGAGGTAAGGTGAGAAATGGCATGTACTGGTACAGCAGACTTCGATATCAATCACTGCCAGGGCTTGATTTTATCATCAAATATCATGTTAACAAAACTGAACTACAGACAGGATTGTGGATTAATCCAGTATGAATCTGCAGTGTGTAGTTTTACAGTCTGACGGTAATAATTGTGGAGTGATTTTAATCCAGTATGAATCTGCAGTGTGTGTAGTTTTACAGTCTGACTGTAATAATTGTGGAGCGATTTTAATCCAGTATGAATCTGCAGTGTGTGTAGTTTTACAGTCTGACGGTAATAATTGTGGAGTGATTTTAATCCAGTATGAATCTGCAGTGTGTGTAGTTTTACAGTCTGACTGTAATAATTGTGGAGCGATTTTAATCCAGTATGAATCTGCAGTGTGTAGTTTTACAGTCTGACGGTAATAATTGTGGAGTGATTTTAATCCAGTATGAATCTGCAGTGTGTGTAGTTTTACAGTCTGACTGTAATAATTGTGGAGTGATTTTAATCCAGTATGAATCTGCAGTGTGTAGTTTTACAGTCTGACGGTAATAATTGTAGAGTGATTTTAATCCAGTATGAATCGAATCTGCAGTGTGTGTAGTTTTACAGTCTGACTGTAATAATTGTGGAGTGATTTTAATCCAGTATGAATCTGCAGTGTGTAGTTTTACAGTCTGACAGTAATAATTGTGAGTGATTTTAATCCAGTATGAATCTGCAGTGTGTAGTTTTACAGTCTGACTGTAATAATTGTGGAGTGATTTTAATCCAGTATGAATCTGCAGTGTGTGTAGTTTTACAGTCTGACGGTAATAATTGTGGAGTGATTTTAATCCGGTATGAATCTGCAGTGTGTGTAGTTTTACAGTCTGACGGTAATAATTGTGAGTGATTTTAATCCGGTATGAATCTGCAGTGTGTGTACTTTTACAGTCTGACGGTAACAATTTTTGAGTGAACGGTCTGAAGCCAGAGCTCTCTCTAATAGCCGTCCTGTTCCACTTCACGCTAATGGAATAACAAAACCTGCTAATAGCCACAGTCGTGCGATGTGCTGTTACTATTATTGAGTGAGTGCTGTGGTATAACACTGACGTGAACATGCACTATGACCGTTTACCCCAGGCTATGTAAGTAAACCTACATATTAAATGCCACACATTACTGGGCTTTCATCAAAAATCTCCCAGTGACGGCTTCTGACCCCGCCCAGTCTCACCGTATGGGATGATCTCCACATGTTTTGGGTCTTTCCATGACAGAGACCCACTTGTCATCGTAGCTGAAGAGTGAGAGATCCAAGTAGGGGCTACTGCTGTATGACTGCGCACTAATGGGGAGCTGACCCAGCAGCCTGCGGACCGCCTCTGTGTGACCACCATACTTAGCATTCACTATAGTGTCCTTAAACCTGCAGAAATGTGGAGGGAGAGAAATCATTAAAATAGTCTTCTGAACACACAGGAGTTTGAACGACAGAAGAACAAAATTTGACTGTAAATGAATGCATGAAAACCACACTTAAAAAGCTCTATAACAATCTGGCCCAATCCCATTTCTTCTTTTTACCCCTACCCCTTGTTTTCCAGTGCCACCATAACCCCTTGGAACTGAGTTACAAGGGGTAGTGGTTGAGATCTTGCCCTACGAAATGGGACCCTCAAATAAAAAGAACATCACTTCATTAACAGCTACCAGCGCTGCTCTGTAGGCGACCCTGCCAGTCTGCAGTGACAGCAGAGGAGGGTAAAGTTCAGCTCCTCACTGCTGGGCTTTAGTTACATTTAGGGCATCATATGCCTTCAAAGAGAGGGGCAATTATTTATTATCACCCACCCCTAATTCTTCAGTGATATGAAGCTGAAGTCAGATATTCACCAGCTTCTCGTTCGAATTTTCCTGTTCCACGTTAAATGGTGCAGCAGTTACATTCTGGCGCTTCAGGCATCGGAACTGCTGGACTATTTAAGGTGGAACGGGAAATTTAGCTAGCTACCGAGACATCAGCTACTACTAGCAATTTTTTATGCTTGTTTTGAAGAAACAGTCCATAATACACTGAAACGACATCAAACTAAGATAAAACAATGATTATCAAGTTTTTAACGGAGAAAATTCTCACATTTGTGGGTTTCGTTGGTCTCTTGTTCAGCCATATTGCTGGTTTTTCTTTTTTCCTCATAACTCTCTGTTTGGAGTCTCTGAAAACCTCTGTTTGGAGGGTCATGTAGCCCCAACAATTCACTGGAGGACTTCATACATCTTTATATAAGGATATTTTATTAACCATCTGCACATTTTATTCCCTACGCTGCTAAGGCCTTGACATGAAGTGTAAAAGTTAAATTCCTTAAATTCCATGTGTCAAACAGAAGGCCAGCGGGCCAACTCAGGCCCGTGACACCGTCCTATTCGGCCCGCAAAATTATTTAAATGTTCTATTCTTATTAGACCGTTTCTCCATGAGCTGCACTACAGTTCCCAACATGCACTGCAACATAGTGTGCATTCTGACCCCCTTATCCCAACAACAATATGGGCCAGCGGTTACACAAAAAAGAAGAGATGTCTGGCGTCCAGTTCAAGCAAACAGGCAGTTTTTAATAAAACTACCTAAAACAATTTATTCTTATTTAGAATTATTTGTAAATAAGTATCCAATGCATATTTTGCTGTTGCAGTTTTGGCATATTTAGAATAAAAAAATGGCCTTTTTTAATACGACCCTTTTAGTGGTTAAGTGCGACACCCCTGGTTTGAAACCGAATTAGCTGCACATTCTTCACATGGCCACCCCTTCCTGAAATTTACCACCAAACAGAGACATGGAGAGCATCTCAAACCCATACTCCAGTAAAAGTACTGCTTCTGTGGTGAAATAATGGAGTAAAAGTACCTTTCCAGAAAACATCTTGAGAAGAAGAACCTATTTAAGCACTGAGTAACTTAGAGAACTGCAGCTGAATATATATATATATATATATATATATATAGTCACTTAGAGATTTTATTCCAAGCCATTTTTCACTATTTCTGTGGGTTCATTTATCATAATATTTTGATGCAGTATAAACGGCAGCTGGTATTTTGAAAGTAGGCAAAAAAAATGTAAAAACAAGCTTTTGTTCTTGTTCTGGTGATGGTATATACTCGATACACACGCAAGTATTTTTTAACAGGTGGACTTACCTGCGCTGGACCTGCCGGGCGAAGTTATTGCTGGACGCGGAGCAGGGGAACTGCACGGCCTCGCTATGGAGCGTAGCGTTCCGGAAAAGATCGCAGAAATTCTCAAACAGCTCCAACAGCTTGTCCGAAGTGTTCTCAAACACCGCGATCACCTCAGTGGTGACCATGTTGTACACGACAAAGAAAGAGGGCTGAGAGACAAAGAGAGAAAGACAAAGACCGTGTGAGAGAACGATGAAGAAACAGATAAAAGCCTGAAGTAAGACAATGAGTGCGTTTACATGCACTTAATAATCTGATAACTGCAGAAAATCAGGTTGTGTCAGTAATCTGATCAACAAGTTTACACGCACTTGAGTGATCAGATAATGGGAAACTTCAGGTCTACATGAGTCAGGCAGTAATCAGATTTCTGCTTTGCAACCAGCCAATAAACTCGTAACGTAACTTGTAAACGTATCGTAAAACAAACTTTTTTTCAAACATCCCGCCACTTTACCTGAAAATACGAACACACATCATCTAGAAGATGAAGAATATTTAAATCCTTTATTTCGTGTTTGGTTTCAACGTTGCTCCAACAGTGAGCGACATCCACCGTCTGTTTCGCACGTGCGCAGACTGAGAAATTCAACAGAAATCAGAGTAAGAGTTTACATGCAATGAGAAATCTGATTACTGAGCTAAAATCCAGCCTCTTTATCTGATTTCTTGACCAGATTTCGAGATCGGAGTATGGCGTTCACATGACCATTTGAATAATCGGATAACTGCAGAAATCCGATTATGATCGGATTATTGAGTGCATGTATACACACTCACTGTCTCAAACAGATTTTCTGAAAAAGATGAGATTTTAGGTACATTTAAATGGAAAAAAGCAATGCAAATGAGTGTAATACTGGCTTGTGTACGTTGAGACCTCTGAGCAATCTCAGACGTTTCAGCTGAGTGTTCTGTACGCGTCCTGATAAATCACAGGTGTTCATCCAGCCTGACTAATCATAGGCATTTCCACACAGCACTCTCTAACCACCCATTAAAATGTGCTAAGCACTGTTATATCGCAATAAATAATCACAATTATCTTTTTTCTGGTCAAAACCTCAGCGCGATTCACTTGCTTGTTTTTTTAACCTGACTGTCAATCGTCGATAGCCATTACAGAATTACAGAAGGACTGCAGCGAGGAGAATATACAGACAGTATGAAGACCTGGAATACAAAAGGAATATTAATGCCACCAGCAAGAAGCACTGAAGCTGTTTCTTCTACTACTATCACCATCAGCAGGAACAAAACAAGATGAATACATTGATTTTTATATTTTTTTAAAAAACTTTTTCACACCCAAAGTCGATTGTAACACATGGCTGAGTATGAAAGCACAGGATAAAAATGAACACAGACACACCACAGCTCACTGAGATGACCGATAAACATCTCCTTACCAATAACTGATTTCATTCTTTAATAAAACCAACTAACACGATATAATCCATATCAGAACTGCAGTGGAGGATAAAACTATAAGAATGGATCACTGATTTAGTTTACTTACTTATGACAGCTACATGAGGCATTCGGTTGTATGCAAAAGTTTGTGCAACCCGGTCAAATTATACAACGATCAGACACAACATTATGACCACCTCCTTGTTTCTACGCTCATTGTCCATTTTATCAGCTCCACTTACTATATAGGTGCACTTTGTAGTTCTACAGTTACAGACTGGAGTTCATCTGTTTCTCTGATACTTTGTTAGCCCCCTTTTACCCTGTTCTTCAGTGCTCAGGACCCCCATGGACCCTCACAGAGCAGGTGCTATTTGGGTGGTGGATCATTCTCAGCACTGCAGTAACGCTGACATGGTGGTGGTGTGTTAGTGTGTGTTGCGCTGGTACGAGTGGATCAGACACAGCAGTGCTGCTGGAGTTTTTAAATACCTCAGTGTCGCTGCTGGACTGAGAATAGTCCACCAACCAAAAATATCCAGCCAACAGCGTCCTGTGGGCAGCGTCCTGTGACCACTGATGAAGGACTAGAGGATGACCAACACAACACAGCAGATGAGCTATCGTCTCTGACTTTACATCTACAAGGTGGACTGACAAGGTAGGAGTGTCTAATAGAGTGGACAGTGAGTGGACACAGTGTTTAAAAACTCCAGCAGCACTGCTGTGTCTGATCCACTCAGACCAGCACAACACACACTAACACACCACCACCACGTCAGTGTTACTGCAGTGCTGAGAATGACCCACCACCCAAATAGTACCTGCTCTGTGAGGGTCCATGAGGGTCAGAATGTTACGTCTGATCTGTGTATTTTGTTGATTTCCTAAGGCTACGTTCACACAGCAGGTAAAAGTGGCCCAAATCCGATTTTCTCACCAAATCTAATTGTTTTGTTTGGCTGTTCACTATGTTTGTTAAATGTGATCTGTATGCGACATCAGTCTGAACAGATCAGCTCCTAAAGTGACCCACATGCGCAAAAGAACAGAGCTTCACGCGGCTCATCCAGAGGTAAACAATCACGACTGCCAACAAACGCCAGTCGCTCCCGGAGGATCAGCTTCATCTTCACCAGCATCACAGGAGCCATCATGAAGCTTCACTGACTGACAGCTGGGCTCATCACCCAGAATGTGTTCGAGCCGTAAAAAGGGCGCGGTCACTTCTTTGGTTCGCGTCCTCGGATTCTTTAAACTTTGCTTTCAGACTTTTAACTGTTCTTTGACGCTGCAGCCTCGTTCTCCTGCGGCCGCGTTCGGACATTTCTTTCAGAATCTCTTCAAACACGGAGGGTTTTGGATGATTTATACAGAAACATCAGCCCAATATTTATGAGGCCTCAGCTTAAAGCAGAGCAAAGTAAGTCTGGATTTTTGTTTGTTATATTTTTAGCCTATACTAGTTCATTAGCACATACTGAGACATATTTACAGGCAGGATGGTAAAATGGACACAAATGGGCTCCCAAGCTGGATTGATTTTTGTTGCAAGGACGAAATGGCTCTTCTTAACATTTGGGTTGAGACCCCTGGTCTAATTCATCTACAGGCAGTTAACAAGCTCTGATATTAGGCTAAATTAGGCTAAATTAGGCTAAATTTACTCATCTTACACCTGCAGCCCTTGTGATTTGAAAATTGCGATTTCAATATAAATTGATTAATTTTTTAGCCCTCATTAACAGAACTGTTCTTACACTGCAAGAGGGAATGATTACTTTTGCTCCATGTAAGCTGTTCTCCACATGTAACAGACATCTACAGCTTAAATGGAGTTTTTGGAGGGACTTTTCAGCCATGCTAGCTTACGCCACCTCCAAGGGCTAATGACAGGGCAGCCGTTCATCAGACATCGTCAGCACCCCCCACTCTGAGCCCTGCTTTCACGAGCCGTCGGATTGGTTTAAACGTTTCCCACTCAGTTTGTTCCGACCCGAATACGTTCCCCTGACATTCAGCACTAAATTTCTCACGCTTGTCCCCGGGCATCTGTGACGAGATCACGTCTCGCCCCGCGGGACCACCCCTCACAGTCATCTCTCAGCTGTTCCAGACTGGAGTTTAATGTTTGGAGTAATTATGTTCTCCAGACACCACATAAGCCGCTTCTTGTTCAGCTCAGCCTCACGAAGAGAAGCAAGTTACTGAACACTTGTTAGGATTATCAGAGATTGAGCAGCACAGAACAAAGGCACAATTCACTGTGAGCTCATTTACAAACCTCAGTCTTGCATAATAACATCGCAGAAGCTTAACGATACGTTATCATTATTAGGATCAATTTTGGGATCTTCATTTTTGCTGTTTTGCTGTCATCACCATACCTGTGTGTAATATAATCTGCACTCCATGTGCAATATGTGTAAAATATCCTTACATGGTAAAGATTTTTTTGCTTTTCTATTTAGTGTTTTTATTGCTAATAAATCACGATACTTGTCTGCAATATAATCAATACTCCATGTGCTATACGTGTAAAATATACTTATAGCGTAAAGATTTTTTTGCTTCTTTATTTATAATGTTTATATTGTTAATTTTGTGAAGTTTATAGTTTAACTTTTAGTTTTACATACATTTTCTATACAGTAATAAGTAACAAACTGTAACCTTAAAGTAATTAATATCTTATATGTTAATTTTCTTCTTGTTACTTCGTTTCTTGAGTGCCTTGTTCTCCCTTTGCTGTTGTAACACAGTGAACTTCCCCGATGTGGGACTAATAAGGATTATCTTATCTTTTTTTTAATTAATTTTATGTTTTTTTGTCCATATTTTAAAACATTCGCTCTCTTTATCATGATGCATAATATTTAAAGATGAAATAATAACTAAAATCTCATTACATGAACTAAAGAAGTTTACTTTCTCATGCAAAGTTTTTTTTTGGATGATATTTTTGTTGGAAATATTTTTTATCTGACCAACAGAGATTCTACTACTGAACAACTGCATTCATATAATAGATTTAGTCCAATTACAACCAATTACAGACAGCCTGTAAACTGCATAGTAAAAACAATAGCTAACTGAAGGTCAGCCCATTATTAAGTTTTATTATTATTATTATTATTATTTTTATTATTATTACTACCAATTGTTTGACTTTGCTTCCAGATCTTTCTAAGTTAGTTAAAAAAAGCATGTTTTTTCAACAGGCATAGTTTTCATCACCACAGCTGTTACGTTTCATTTTGTATCAACATCATGTATCATGACCACTTATTAAATATTGTGATGTTATATTTTTGCCATATTTCCAGTCCTTACAGAGACCAATACTGTGATGACAGTCATCATACATACATCACACAGCTCTACCTGAGAGGGGTCGGTGACCCGGAGGGTGACCACGTCTTCGCTGGTGTATTTGATGAAGAGGTGATGCTCGTCCAGAAGCTGCATCTTCCACATTCTCAGCTGCCTCAGCTGGTCGAAGAACTGGAAGAACCTGCGTTTGGCCGTGGCGCTGCCGTCCTGCTCCGCTCGCCTCCACAGGTACACCAGGAGTCTGTGTTTCAGAGAGTTGATGCTTTTCTCCTTGTAGAGTCGAGAGAAACCCGGCTGACCCTCCGCCTGAGCCTCGGAGTACACCGCCGAAAGGGTCAAAAGGTCATCCTCGTAGCAAAAACGTCCAATGGTTCGGACGTCCAGGAAAGTTCCTTCTGGAGTCACCTAGACGAGACGAGAAGAAATTAGGGGATTTTAATCTCACTGTATATAAATTTAATATTACTTGTTTTCGTGTTGAATCTCATTATGTGATTTTAATCTCAGTGTCTTGATTTTAATCTTACTGCATCTAATTTTAATCTTACTGTTACTGATTTTAATGTCCAATTTCAATCTTAATCTGCCGATTCTGATTTCAATCTCACTGTATATAATTTAAATATTAATCTACTTTGAATCTCATTATACATTACTTTAAAAATAATGATTTTAATCCCAGTGTCCAATTTTAATCTCACTGATTTTAATCTTACTGTATCTGATTCTAATCTCAACATGTCCAATATTAACCTTAATCTAAATGATTTGGATTTTAATCTCACTGTATATAATTTCAATGTTGTTTGATTATTATTTGATTACATTTAAAATATGATTTTACTCTCAGTGTCTCATTATAATCTCACTGTTTCTGATTTTAATCTCACCGTATAAATACTACTTATTTCTACTTTGAATCTTATTGTTCATGATTTTAAATTTACTATGTGATTTTTAATCTCAGTGTCTGATTTTAATCTTAACATGTCCAGCACTGTGAAATTCCCCACAATGTGGGACTAATAAAGCATTATCTAATCTATTTTATTTATTTTATGCTTTTTGTACATAATTTAAGACAGTAGCTCTCTTTATCATGATGCATGGACCAGTAGAAATGAGTCATAATTACTTAAAGATAAAATCTCATTACACTAATTTATATTAAAAGTTAAGAAGGGTTTACTTTCTCTTGCAAAGTTACCTTTTTGGATATACCTTTTTTTGACCAACAGAGATTATATGCTTTTCTACTACTGAACAACTGCATTTAAATAATTTTGCACTCATATGATTTTTAATCTCAGTGTTTGATTTTAATCTTAACATGTCCAGTTTTAATCTTAATCTAACTGATTTTAATCTCACTGTATGTAATTCAAAATTACTTGTTTCTACTTTGAATCTTACTGTACACGATTTTAAACTGTGATTTTAATCTCAGTGTCTGATTTTAATCTCACTGTATCCAATTTTAATCTTAACATGTCCAGTTTTAATCTTAATCTAACTGATTTTAATCTCACTGTATATAATTCAAAATTACTTGTTTCTACTTTGAATCTTACTGTACATGATTTTAAACTATGTGATTTTAATCTCAGTGTCTGATTTTAATCTCACTGCATCCAATTTTAATCTTAACATGTCCAGTTTTAATCTTAATCTAACTGATTCTGATTTTAATCTCACTGTCTCATTTCAATATCTTACTGTACCTGATGTTATATCACTGCGTCTGATTTTAATCTTACAGCGTCTGCTTTTAATTTCACTGTTTCTGCTTTCAATCTCACGGTAAATTATTTTAATCTGTGTCTGAGCCAGTTTCCTGGAACCAGATTAAGCATAAGCCTAGTCTAAAAAGAATTTCCAATAGTGCTTCAACACTGCCGCTGCAATTTAGTCTAAAACTAGACTGAATTCATGTCCCATTGTGCCTGCGTTTAATCCTAATCTCACTGTATCTGATTTTAATCTCACTGTCTGATTAAAGGCCAAAAAGGTCCTAGGGTCGTATTAATGAGCTGCACTGCCATCACAGTGCTGTGGAGGCTGTTACCGCCGCACTCACCTGAAACACATGGATGGTCTGTTGCTGGACAGACAGCACGGCTAGTATGTTCCTGTACAGGTAGAGGCCCTGGTTGTGAGACAGGATGATCTTATCACATTTGAAGGTGCGTGTGTCGCACAGACGGCCCGTGTGCAGGTCTATGATGTGGAGCGAGTAATCCTCCAGAGGAGACCGCGGGTTTGGAGTCACGGACTCGTTGTTGCGGTAAACCTCGAAGAAGTGCGGGTGCGGCTCCTCGGGCAGGTAGGCCGCAGACCCCACTATAACGTAGCGGCAGTCGTCCGTGAACAGGCTGCACTCACGGTTCAGGTGCTCCCCGTTAGAGGCCACGTTGGTGACGTGGAGGAGAGAGAAGAAGCGCTCGAAGAGCCGCCCGCGGATGTTCAGAGAGCGCTGGTCATTCCCGTTGGCCAAAGTCTCTCCTTCCTGGCCCTGGAGCAGGTCCTCGGCAGCCTGTCGGTGGGGGCGGGGTGACAGTCAAATCTAATTCATGATACTTTGCATTGGATAATATGATATTACAATACACAAATAACCAAAACAGTACTGACAACAGTAGGACACTGGTGCCTACACGGACTCTAAGAAGTGTTCAGTCTGTGTCTGATTTTAATCTCACTGTACGTAATTTAAATACTATTCGTTTCTTCTTTGAATCTCATTTTTAAATTTACTGTGATTATAATCTCAGTGTCTGATTTGAATCTCACTGTGTCTGATTTTAATCTTAATCTAACTGATTCTGATTTTAATCTCAATTAAATATAATTTATATATTATCTGTTCCTACTCTGAATCCCATTGTACAAGATTTTACATTTACTCTGTGATTCTAATCTCAGTGTCTGATTTGAATCTTACTGTATTTGATTTTAATCTTAACATGTCCAATTTTATCTTAATCTAACTGATTCTGATTTTAATCTCACTGTAAATCATTTAAATATTACTTGTTTATATTTTACTCTCAGTATCTGATTTTAATTTCACTGTGTCTGATTTTAATCTTAATCTAACTTATTCTGATTTTAATCTCACTGTATCTGATTTTAATCTTAACATGTCCATTTTAATCTAAATCTAACTGATTCTGATTTTAATCTCACCGTATGTACTTCAAATATTACTTGTTTATGATTTTAATCTGAGTGTCTGATTTTAATCTTTCTGTATTTCTTTTTATTCATGATATTGCATATTATGACATCACGAGGTACAAATAACCAAATTAGTACTGACAGCAGTACGACACTGGTGCCTGCTCAGACTCTAAGCAGTGTTCAGTCTCAGTGTTGATCTGCCTCACACTATACTGAGTTCTTTACATTGTTACAAGTGCACACTGATCGCTATTTAAAATGTATACATAGATAAGAGCATTAATAATTAATTACCTATTAAAAAGGGGGGGGGGGTAATTTGGGCTTTTTTCTATGAACTTTATGAACCTCAATGGCTTTCGCATTCATTACATCATGGGACAGCTGGCCAGTCAGAAGATGAAGGCAAACACAGAACAAGGAAGGGAGAACATGGAGGGGGAGAGAGGGCCCACATGGTGGTAGAGCACTGGTAACTTCTCCCTCAGAGCCATTTTCTCTGTTTTTTTTATTTTTTATTATTCAATTTTAATCTTAATCTAAACTGATTCTGAATTTAATCTCACTGTACATAATTAAAATAGTACTGGTTTCTACTTTTGAATCTCATTGTACATTATTTACTTTATTTTTTTACACTTTATTATTTATTATTTTACACTTTTGTGAGTTTAATCTCAGTGTCTGATTTTAATCTTACTGTATCTGATTTTAATCTTACCATGTCCAGTTTTAATCTTAATGTAGCGTATTCTGATTTTAATCTCACTGTATGTAATTCAAATAGTACTGGTTTCTACTTTTGAATCTCATTGTACATGACTTTAAATTTACTCTGTGATTTTAATCTCAGTGTCTGATTTTGAATCTTATTGTATTTGATTTTAATCTTACCATGTCCGATTTTAATCTTAATCTAACTGATTCTGATTTTAATCTCACTGTATTTAATTCAAATAGTACTGGTTTCTACTTTTGAATCTCATTGTACATTTTGTTAAACTTATGTGATTTTAATCTCAGTTTATTACTGTTAAGAGCATAATGGAAAGGTTTTTTGCATTTTTGGTCCAATAAAGGGCACCAACATAGTGGAAAAAGTCTAATTTACCAAAACAGAGTAATATTCTACTCCAACACTGTAAACAGCTCTGCAGATATTTAAATCCTTTTTGTTGAGTTTATTAGAAAAATAGCTTTTAAGTAAATGTATTGTCTGGGCTATTCATGCTTCATTTTTTATCTTATTACACCCACGATATGTTCAAATCCATATTATGGGACAATATCCTACCAGTATTCAAATGTTATGCCACTAAACCTCCAGGCCCTACCTGGCATCCCTGGTACTCGTATATCTCCAGGGAGGTCTGGTCCGAGGAGAACGCGATGAAGCAGCGTCCATCTGGAGAGAACTTGCGCAAAAAGCATGGGGGCTTCTCCACGTTCACCACAGTAAAGTTGGGGAAGAGATTCTGGTGGAAGCAGCGCACCCTGTACCAGTGTGCCCCAGGGGCGGCCCGAGCAGATGCGCCGGCGCTCCAGACGATGGACCACGTTCTGGTTCTGGATGCGTCGTGGTCGCAACGTCGGGAAACTGTCTTCCGTTGTGGGCGCGCTGCAGGACGCCATGGACGCCTACATTACAGTCAAGACTGAGAAAGCAAAAGCAAAGAGAGACACAAGCTGAATAACTGCAATACATTCAAGATCTTCGCAAATTTAAGGTGACACTGCGACCTTAGACTCATCTGTGGGTCTGGATTCTTTTGGACACATAGTTTAGTTCAGTTTATTCAGGAACATATACTAAGTAAAACTAGTGAAACTGATAATAGGCAGAATTAAAAGGAACCCAAGCAGCTCTCTATGATGGCACCCCAGCTATGGGAACAGGGGCTTCACTAACGTCTGTAGACTACATTTACATTTTAGAGAAAAAGAATATCTTTATGAACTTAAAGGTGAATTCCACCCACTCTTCAGAATTTCTGCATTCAGAGTGGTTTGGTGTGACTCTGGTTTCTTTACAGTGGTGGCGATAGGAACCAGAGATGACAACAACACAAACATAGTCTTTTTGAACCTACAAGTTTATGTGGGATGTTGATGGTAAAATAGTGGAAAATCTGAAAACAGTGAGTTTCCTCCTTGCACTGTTCTGCATCACAACACGCTGCATGTATCCCTCCACCGTGAATAGATTAAAATAAACTGATTAACAAGACGTTTCAGGCCAACATTATCACAAAACAGTGTCTCAGTCATCAGGCTGTGAATTCATAACACATTTCATGTAGTAACTTGCTGTGAGGGAGCTTTTAGAGGTGGACGTCTGGTTCCCATCACCACCACTGTGAACAGTTCTGACTCTCTAGAACGGAGCGTTTCACACCAAACCACTCTGAACGACTCCGTTTACATCTTAACCACTTAATTATGTAGCAGTTTTGAAAAACTGGTGGAGTTCCCCTTTTAAACGTTAGCTAAATGAGTTATTGCAGTGAGTTGGTAGTTAATCTCAACACAACGTTTAGGTTCATGTATGTCTCCGCACGTTTTAGACTTTTTTAGGTTTAGTATTGTGTGAAACAGTATTATAGATGCGATATTCCGTCGCGGTGAGTTAATTTATTGAGCATTTCAGTCTAAATGTTTTCTCTTAGTGAACTTAAATGAAACTTACGTGTTGGTTTCTGTGCCGCAGTCCGCGCTAACAAGTCCTTTATTTATCAAAACCGCGCAGAAACACCCAAACTCAGCACTTACTTCTACCACAGAGGGCATATATATATATTTAATGTGTAGTATGAACGATATAAATTAAACATTGTCACTGAAATCGCGGTGTTCTGCGTGTTAGCTCGTAGCTTAGTTAGCTCGCCGGCGAACTCACAACGACCAAGAGCCAGGAAACCCTCCGGCTGAGTTTTTAGAGCGCCACCTGCAGGAGCGGCGGAACGATCCAACACACAGGCAGCAGCAGAGAGGAGCTCAAAATCACACCGCAGATTAGTTTCTTCGTTTTACTCTTACAACACATTTCCTTATGCAAGCCCGTCTCTGTCACTGGAAAATATATATATATATAGCCGTTTATTAAGCCATAATAATGATACATTTTCCATAACTACGAGGATTATGATTATGTAATATAATAATTGCGTTAAATAATGGTATTATGACTTAACATCTCATAATTATGACTTAGTATCTCATAGTAACGATTTAATTCTTCAAACTTATGACTTACTTTCACATAATTGTGACTTGCTTTCTCATAGCTATGACATAGCACCTCATGTTTATGACTTAGTATCTCATAATCATGACTTACTTTCTCATTATTATGAGAATTTTTCATTGTTGTGAGACACTAATATAGACAATTATTCATTACTGTGAGATGCTAAGTCATAATTATGAGATGCTAAGTCATAAATCATAGTTGTGGAAACTTTATCATTATTATGACTTACAAAAAGGTTACATTTTTTTCCAGTGGCAGAAACGGGTTTCTGTTTTTCCTGAACATTTTCCCTAAATGCAAAAACAAAACTAAACACCAATCTGACTTCCACTGAAAATTACTGTAGTAGTTGAACTAAACATATAAAACATCTTCCAATTACAAGAAAACAATATCATGTTTTAAACATTGCTCATATACAGACTGTACGACGTGCTGTGAAGAAGGTGGAGGTGAGCCTTTAGAGGGCGGCGCTGAGCCACGTTTGTTTATTCGACGTTTGGTAATGACGCCTTTAGAGGGCGGCGCTGAGCAAAGTTTGTTTATTTGATGTTCGTTAATGACGCCTTTATAGGGCGGCGCTGAGCGACGTTTGTTTGTTTGATGTTCGTTAATGACGCCTTTAGAGGGCGGCGCTGAGCGACGTTTGTTTTGTTGATGTTCGTTAATGATGCCTTTAGAGGGCGGCGCTGAGCCACGTTTGTTTGTTTGATGTTCTTATTGACGCCTTTAGAGGGCGGCGCTGAGCGACGTTTGTTTTGTTGATTTTCGTTAATGACGCCTTTAGAGGGCGGCGCTGAGCGACGTTTGTTTATTCGACGTTTGTTAATGACGCCTTTAGAGGGCGGCGCTGAGCAGCGTTTGTTTATTCGACGTTTGGTAATGACGCCTTTAGAGGGCGGCACTGAGCGACGTTTGTTTATTCGATGTTTGGTAATGACGCCTTTAGAGGGCGGCGCTGAGCGACGTTTGTTTATTCGATGTTTGGTAATGACGCCTTTAGAGGGCGGCGCTGAGCGACGTTTGTTTATTCAATGCTTGGTAATGACGCCTTTAGAGGGCGGCGCTGAGCGACGTTTGTTTATTCGATGTTTGTTAATGACGCCTTTAGAGGGCGGCACTGAGCGACGTTTGTTTATTCGATGTTTGGTAATGACGCCTTTAGAGGGCGGCGCTGAGCGACGTTTGTTTATTTCGATGTTTTGGTAATGACGCCTTTAGAGGGCGGCGCTGAGCGACGTTTGTTTATTCGATGTTTGGTAATGACGCCTTTAGAGGGCGGCGCTGAGCGACGTTTGTTTATTTGATGTTTGTTAATGACGCCTTTAGAGGGCGCCGCACACACAAATTACCAACTACAATTATTCATATTACAATTAATCGTCAGCAAAAATTTATGATTATGACAGGCCTAAACATTGGAAGGTTAAGATTAGGCACAATAAGAGTGAACTCAGTTAGGGTTAGTTTACAGGGATTAAGCTTAGTCTTAGACACACAACCTTCTGAATGAGGTTCTCTATTCAAAGGAGAATGTAGTTCAGGATTACACAGATTAAAATCTGACACAGACACATCTTTCAGTTTAGCAGTTGAAGTTAAACTCTGTTCTTCTCTTTTTGGTCTAAAGTAAAACGCTAAAGCTCCAAAGTGAGAGGAGAGATCAACGGTAAAGTAAAACAGGAGCTGAACCAACACAGCACAATGACATTAAACCCAAAAATGAGAGCTGGGAATTAAAGTAATATACAGCTACACCAATCAGGCATAACATTATGACCACCTCCTTGTTTCTACGCTCATTGTCCATTTTATCAGCTCCACTTACTATATAGGTGCACTTTGTAGTTCTACAGTTACAGACTGTAGTCCATCTGTTTCTCTGATACTTTGTTAGCCCCCTTTTACCCTGTTCTTCAGTGGTCAGGACCCCCATGGACCACAACAGAGCAGGTACTATTTGGGTGGTGGGTCATTCTCAGCACTGCAGTAACACTGACGTGGTGGTGGTGTGTTAGTGTGTGTTGTGCTGGTCTAAGTGGATCAGACACAGCAGTGCTGCTGGAGTTTTTAAACACTGTGTCCACTCACTGTCCACTCTATTAGACACTCCTACCTTGTCAGTCCACCTTGTAGATGTAAAGTCAGAGACGATAGCTCCTCTGCTGCTGCAGTTTGTGTTGGTCATCCTCTAGTCCTTCATCAGTGGTCACAGGGACGCTGCCCACAGGACGCTGCTGGCTGGATATTTTTGGTTGGTGGACTATTCTCAGTCCAGCAGTGACACTGAGGTGTTTAAAAACTCCTGCAGCACTGCTGTGTCTGATCCACTCAGACCAGCACAACAGGTCATAATGTTACTGATCGGTGTATACTCATCATTTAGATACTGGACGTTCATTTGGCCTGTAAGCAGCTGCTTGATTAGGGAGGCTTTCTGAGATGAACTTTTTACTTGCAAAAAAAACAGATTATAGGTTATTCAGTACATCTACTCTTTTAATTTGGGGATTATTCTGACCGACATTGGCCGGTTTAGTTGGAGTGGGTCTTAGTAGTGAAAACAGAGGGGCATTAGGACAGAAAATTAGAGTCAAAAGTAGCCTAATGCCCATTTAAATAGCTTCACCCATTAACAGATTACACTGAAAAGGTGAGCGAGAGGAAGACGAGGTTCGCTTCCTCCTTTTTCTGCTTTTCTGCCATTGATAGAACAAATTGATGGATGTTTAAAACCCCCGGCCGCTCCCTCCAAACAGGCCGGCGGACATTTGGACTTTGTAAATAGACCTTTTTATGGCCCTGCTCGACGGGAAGCATGCTAATCTTCCACAAAAATTATGAAATTAACACTCAGTTTCAAAATGTCAATTGACATCTTCCGACAAGCAGATTTCCATAATAATTACGAAAAAGGTCATTTTTTAAATTTATTTCTTTTTTTAATGTTTTTTTTTACTCTACATTAGCAGTGGAGCTGCTCTCATGTTGCAAACTGAAAATGGGAGCTTTTTTATTAAACACTGCAACAAAACGTTTAGGACTCTTCAGCAAAAAGGATATAAAATCATTTCGGAGTGGTCATATAAGACTGGACAAAAGTCAGAGAGTCCTCAACACAATTCCTTCATTTTGCAGGATATATTTCTGAGGAGGTTAAACAGAGGATATTCCCCTTATTAAAGGATAATACTGGAGTTCAAAAACTGATTAAAAGCTACAGAGAAAATGGGGCTCCTAACAACCACCTGGAAGACCTGTAGACACCAAAACTGCCCCCATCAGATAAACAGCACTTAAAGCTTTCATCTCTGAGAGAGAGGAGAAAATCAAGCTGCTTCAGATCTGAAAACATCCACAGGTGTTTCTGTCCATCCTTCCACTGTGAGAAGACGACTCAGCGCTGTGGGTCTGAAACGATGTGTAGCTGATCAAGAAGAACCTCACTGAGAAAAGGAGACGGACACATCAAACAAAGAAGCTGAACAATGGACTGACCACCCCAGAGTCCAGACCTCAACACCACTGAATGTGTTTGATTACTTCAGAAAATTATCAACCAGCTTCTAAGACTGAACTTTGGAGGCGTGTCTGCAGATTCTTTGAGGAACTGAAAGTGAGTCTCCTGAAAAGAATGGAAGCTGGAATAAATACTGAAAATTTGATATTAAATTTAGTTTTTGAGGCTTCTGTGTGATTTTCTGTTTAAATGTGTTTTTTTTTCTGACATTAAAAAATAAATAACTTGTACTTAATGGCTGTTTTGGCTGAATATTAAAGAAATGAAGGTTGCTCTGGGACTTTTGCACAGTATTGTATATTAAATGAAAAATATCAGGTATCAGCCTGACTGATTCCCATATCTGTGAGGCTGTGTTTGGTCAGTGTTTGTGTTCCTATAAAAATTAGATCTTGCACCAGTTTTTTGTGATTGTTTCAGGCTAAAATGCCTGATTTTGCTGTGTTTCTCATTATTTGTGGCAATATTTGCACGCTGTTTGTTTGGGGGAGGTGGGGTAAAAAAAAACTTGAGAAATTTGTGAGGATTATAAGCCTGATTAATTAGTAAGTTAGTGTAGCACGTCTGGGCCCAGGAAGGGCGCTGGAGGTGGGATTGAAGGTCACAGCAGTCGTATAACTTTAATTTTCAGACCAAACACAAACAAAGCAAACAAAACCAAAACCAAAGCTGCCAACTTTTCAGCAGCTTCAAAACTAGACATTTCTGTCCTATATATATCTTCCCTCTCTGTTCTTTTAAAGGTGCCCACACTGCCGACAGCAGATCAGCGTCAGCTCTCATTAAGGGCAACATGAGCACCTCATTGCTCCGCCTCCGTCACCGCCCCTGTTCTCCAGTTCGTCCACCGGGATCAAACGTGAGGCAAATTAAAGTGCCCTCACCTCGGGACCGCAGCCGGTGCCCAGGAGGCGGGGCTCGGGATTCGCATGCCGTCCCCCAATCCCTCTTGGTTTTCCCCTCCCTGCTGTCCTCGCAGGGCCTCTTCTTCGCTTGCGGTTTGGGCCTCGCCTTCCTGACAGCTCTCACGGTCGCCATCGGGGCCTGGGGACGGGCACACCGCACAGTTAGCTTCTGATAAAAACAAGGGAGAATCAACTTGAGAAAAGAAAGAAAAAAGTTTCAGTGTTTTATATT